ATGTAAGGAACTATGTGTCTAACTCCATGGGATAACATTAAAAGGTAGAAATACTCGAGGCAAGTGCCAAATCAATCAATTCAACACTTATCCTATTAAGACCTTGCAACATCACTCCATATTGCACTCTCATTTTTGTGACCTCTCTCTTCACTCTCCTAAACTATCACATTTAACTAATAACTAACTAGTAACTAGTTAGTTATCAAAAATCTATCTTTAACTAAATAAGACACCAAGTTCCAAGAGTAAATCTAAATCAAATCTTAAATGATCACATCAAATCTTACTAAATATTGGTTCTTATCCTCCCCTCACCTCTTAGAAATCTCAAGCTCTCCTCTCTCATTTCTTCCTTCCTTTTTCCATCAAATACTCTCAAGAAAAGCTCTCAAGCATCATCATTTTTCACCCCCATACACCCCTTTCGAAACCCACTAAAACCAAGAGCAAGAAGAGGATTGTTGCCCCTTGGTTTTCAACCACCATTTCAACTCTTTCCACCTTCCTTTTGCTAGGTATTTTCACCTTAAATCACCTCTGAAAGTTAGTAGTTTTTCTGCACCAAAATGGGTACTCAAAATAGTAGCTAAACCACACTTTTTCTTACTTCTTTGCTGGAAATTTCGAGACAGCAACCACCCAAAACAGTGGCTATTTTCGAGCATCAAAACAACCCACAAAAGTCTTCCATTTTGCTGCCTATTTTTTAGAATGATAGCAGCCCATAAGTTGTTGTTTTCAAGTACTTTAAACCCCAAAGAAAGTTATCTTTCATCCCTCAAAAAGCTTGTGTTTCAACCTCTTTTTGGCAACATACTTTAGATCCAAGTAAAAGCTAGGAAAATTCCTTGATTTTACTCTTTCCTATTGTCATAAAACTCACTTGTTTTAAGTTAGTTAAGGCTTGATAAAAGTCTAACTTATTTGTAAATGTATGTCTGTATGTGTTAAGACATCCCAAAAAGTACTCAAATCTCAAGCTTGGGTGGAACCGAAAACCTCACGAATCCTTCTCAAACCGAATAACTTCACGCGATAAAAGTGAGTATATACAGCCCCATTTTATTGTTTTTTTAACATTTCCGGGGGGGGGGGGGGAATACACATAAAAAGTTGATATAAGCTTAAAAGTTTACTATATATATATATATATATATATATATATATATATATATATGATGTCATATTGGTGTTGTGGTAACTTTGTGTTTTACCTGTAAACTTTTGTATCAAATAATACTCTTATTTATAGTTAGTGCATGAAAAACCATCAAATATGTCATGAAAACTTATGATCTTAAATCAAACATTTCATAAAAACTTATAAGTGATTATAAGTGTTTAAATACATAAATAAAGACTTGTTGTATATAATTGGAACACAACTTATGATATTGTTCAATTCACACACTTTAGGGACATAAATGTGCTAGGTATAATAACTTGTTCATAAAATGATCATGTCAAAAGTCTTATGGTATAAATGATTAGAAATGTGTTGGTTATGGTTACCTACAGCCGGGGTGTTGTCGAAATTTGGATATGAAACAATTTTGATTTACTTTAAAAAGTAATTGAACTTTTAAAACAAGTTTCTGAACATCAAACAATTAGGAATTGTAACTAAAAGGTGGGATTGTTATGGAAGTTTCTCATTTATCAAACTAAGACACCAACTTAGTGAAGTCCTCTATAATAACAAGTTAATCTTTTGTGAGTGAAGAATGTGTGTACAGATTTATACGGGTTGACACCTCCGTGTGTGGTTGCTAGCAGCGTTTGTCGAAACAAAATTTGATGACAACTTCTTGTTTTTATTTTACTCTTTTTATCACGACGTCGATGAAGCGTCATTAGGACAACAAGCACCGAACGTTTTTTCATTGTGCTTCACGGAGGTGGGTTCAATTCATATAGCTCGGTTATTGTTTAACAAAATCCGGATACAAAAATACTAATACAAACTAAGATAAGGTTGTATGTAGTATAAGGATTCACATGTAGAATTTTAAACAAATTGTTAGTGTTTATTTATATAATAAGCACTTAATATTGCACTTCACAAAAATATGTTAATTTTTACTTATTTATTATAAGTAAATTAACATGAATACTTGTATCAGATTACATGTATTGGGTCTCACACGAATCATATCGGTAACATTGTTGGCTATGTTTTTGCACAAATTTTTCCGTTTAAACATTCTATGTTTTATAAACATTTCTTTTTATAAAACTCATGGAGTCAAAACCTGTGGAACTCACCAACAATTTTTGTTGGTGTATTTTAAAAATGTGTATTCTCAAGTAACTAAGAAGTCGAATGTAGGACATCGGTTCTAAGGAAATTATATTTCCTCTCTTTTGCGATAAACTTGACATGTTTTATATTACCGTTTTGTGTTTGAATTACGATGATTTAATTTCGTTTCCAAACTTAAAAGTTCGTAATATATTGATTTAAATATGTTAATTGTTCAATATATGTGGTTGATTGTGATCTAATTGTAACGTCGGCGTTTCCGCCGTCGGTCGGGGTGTGACATTATTTATCATAGGACTTGTTAAAAAGCATTTGCATACACATAATCTTTCTTAATAAATGTTTATTGCATGCACATGATTGTCAAATAAAATTGTCAGAATTTCATATATGCCCTTGATGAACATCTAAATATCGTACTTGTCCGGCCTAAACTCTAAATATCGTATTTGCCCTTCTTAATGTTTTTTAATATCATATATACCCAAATCTATTTTTTTGATAGTTTTTATTGATTTATAATTCATTTTCATAACTTAAATCATTATAATTAAAAAAATATTGTTAAGGACAATAATGCCCTTATTACTAAATTTCAATACAACACACATATTCACAAGAAATTACATACGATCGCTGCTTCCTTACTCATGTTTTTGCAGCCTGTTAATACTTCCTTCCGATTGTAGCCATTGATTCGCCTCTTTTGTCACACACACACACACATCTGGTAATCGATTCAACCCTATTCTTATTTCTATCTCTCAAATTTTGTTGCTCTTTGATTTCAGTTGCCACCGGAAACTGCTGTTGGAACAAGATTCCAACCAAACATCAACCTATTCTAATTGTGGTCCAATATGCCCTTACGAATGCAGTTACCCATAAATCTTTTGTTCACTGAAACCACCACTACTACCTCTACATACCACCACCACCCATATATCACCTTACGTTATCATCATAGTGGCACTGCTTGGCAGTTCTTTCTCGTCATCGTCTACTACCTTATCATGGTAAGATGTTGCACATGTTTCTGGCAATCCCCCACCATAAAAGTCTACAACGAAGCAGAAGATTTTTCCAATAAAGGTCATGAGTGAGTTTGAAGATGATTATCCCATCTAGTACATCACCACCATTAACATTCAACCATCTGTGATCAATTCGATTACTATAATAAAGTTTAATAGAGGCGATAACTTGATTGATGGAACTGGTTGTTCGGTTTGTTTGAGTGAGTTTGAAGATGATGAGATTTACGATTATTGCTGAAATGTAACCATGCATTTCATATCCCTTGTATTGATACCCGGTTAAGATTGCATACAAATTGCCCTCTTTGTCATGCTGGTTAAGATCACATACAAATTATCACTTGGGTGTAGGGTTGAGTCTAATTGATTGAAGCTTTTTGCATGGAACTGGATCAAATCGAAATATCTAGATATAGAATTTAGAGAATCATGGTGAATTGGATGGGAATCATCTCTCGAAGAGAGAATTTTGTTGATGATATTGAATATTCGAAAACAGAGTATGAGTTTCTAATGATGGGCAAGAAGGTCAATTTCCATGGAGTCTGTTGTGGTGGCAGGGATTGTTATTGGGGAAACTGAAGGGGATTTCGGTGATTTGAGGCAGTTTTCAAGACATTACTCGGTGGAGGAGATTCAAGAACATGAAGAGTGATGAACGATGTGTGTTGTATTGGATTTTAGAACTAAGGGCATTATTGTCAATTTACAATGTTTTTTTAATTATAGTGATTTAAGATCATGAAAATGAATTATAAATTAATATAAGTTATAAAAAAATAGATTTGGGTATATATGATATTAAAAAACATTAAGAAGGGTAAATACGTTATTTAGAGTTTAGGTCGGACAAATACAATATTTAGATTTAAACCAAGGGCATATACGAAATTCTGCAAATAAAAATAGTTATGTAGGGTTTAACTTAATTTCTACACTTAGTTAAATAACCATATAATGTATATAGTGTCGTTTTACTTCATATCCCTTGATTGATCTTGTATTATTTACTTCAAATGTGTTCCATAAATTAATCAAGCATGCATAAAGGTTTAAACACATATTTTTAACCAAGTTTCGTTTTAACACTTTTGACATTTTTTTTTCTTATTTATGCATCCTACTTTCTATGATGAATTTACATATCTTTTGGATGTCTTACAATATATTATACTTTTAATCTTTTATCAATACCTAGATTGCAAAAAATCCTATCTTGCCCCACTTTATTCTCAGTTTGTATAATCTTACTTCAATATGGTCACACATATGTAATTATCATTTTAGATGGCATTCCTCATTTTATAATTTACATATTGTTAGCATCTTCCAAAATACATGTTTTACCATTTTTTAGCCCTTTTTTCCTTATTCACTTAGTTGATACTTGTACCCATTCAGAAAACCAACTTTTCATATCCTTACCGTTAACATGTTTCCAACATATTTAAAAATTTTGTGTGTACCACTTCGGGTACTCTTTTTAATTACATATAGACTATGTGATCTAAGCACATTCCATCATATTCCCATAAGTGTGCGGTAATTCTTTGATTCATCTTGCATATTGCAATTCTCAATAAACATTATATAATGATGAATGGAATGTAGTTAAAAAATATGATATTATTGTTATGTAATACTTCAGTGATAAATAAAAAATAATCATTTTTAAAATTCACATAATTATTGAAATAGATCCTTGACATGCCAACGATCTTCATCTTCCTGAAAAATGTGGCTCATTCTAAATAAATTGTGCGCTTCATGAGGTCTAATGCAAGTATCTTTGTCCGACAGCATGGTATCAATATCCGGGTCTCACAAATTTGTGGGGTTCAAAAGAAGCGTGATCACCCTATGGCTCTATCCCTAAATCATGCAAACTTCCTGTAAGAGTTTTCTTCCGAGATCCACGGGTCTTACAGAAAACACAAAGCTTTACTCATTTTGGTACCAAATTTTAATAAGAAATGAAGAATAAAAAATCTTCAATCTTATTGCTAGAGTTGAAGACTGGGCATTGAGTGTATTACAGCTCATAAGTAACCAACCCAAAGTCCCATGCATATTACTAACGAAGAAGTTGTTTTTTTTTCATCTTTTCACCCAGTGCACTCATGAGGAGGGGTAGGATACCTACTCTTATCATTACAATAGTCATAATTCATATACTTTTTTCTCACTTCATCATAAGCTTTCTGTTGTTTTGTGTCCAATTGCCAGTAGGTTTTGGTGTTCCACCAATAGTCTTGGGCAAAACAATCCTTATTACGATTATTGACTGGCGAGAGGCATCCATCAATCTTAAAATCTTGAAAATGGGCTTCAATTGGTCCATTTGTCCAATTGGCCTTCGTTTTGCCCCCATCAGTAGCCCAAGAAGACCCATCCCATAAGCTCACTTTCACTTGCATTGTATTGTTAGGGTATCCTACACCTTTGTTTATGTTGTTCTTATATATCCTTATTGGCGTGTCATCCACAAAAAATCTGAGAAAAAAAAAACATAATCGTTAGGTCTTATTCGGAAATCTTTATATGCTTAATGGGAAATTAAATTGAGAGTAAAATCCTGTTGTCTGGTAACAAAGTTGTTTTATTAGTCGTTCCTTGAAAATGGGACAAAATATGATATTTCGCAAACCAATAATATTTTGTTCAATGTAAAATTGTGATTAAACTTAGAGAAAAAACTAATCCCCTTATCAACCCTACAAAGTACAAAATATACAAATATTATGGGCGATGCTATTAGCGGCGACACGAGAAACACATAATTTTGTTATAGTGATATAAACGGGATTTCTTGCAGTGCAATGCACAAAATCAAACTAACAAAACCATTATAACTTTGATATTGATGTGGTATATTTATCTTTTTTTTTTTTTTGAATGACAGTTATTGAAGCATGTGAGATTTATAGGTCAATTTTAATTTGGAGTGTTTTATACTAGATGATCACTACTAGGCCACCTTGATACATCAAGATGGCCTAGTGATCATCAAAGACTTCAAATTGGAGTTGATCCAGATTCGAATCTCACATCTTCAACCTTAGGATGACTTGTACGATGATAATGATGCATATATTTTTTATAAGATAAGATAAGTAAGTGTATACGCAATCTGATGGTGGTTCCATAACAATTTGTAGTAATGGAAATCCGTTGCGGGATCAAACCAAAGAGTGAATTTTTGCTCTTTACCACCAATACTATTCGCAAATACATTTGTTTGTAAAGTAATAGGTTTGCCTGGTCGATTTCCCAAGAACTCGAAGTCTAACTCATCATGTATAGTTGTATTTAAAAACATCTGCATCGATCAAAGCAACATAATTAAAGAGAGACATATTGAAATATGTATGTAATTAACTAATGATCGACTCTTAGGAGTTGAGAATGGTGCTAATTAAACATTTAGAACTATATATTTCCAACCTTTATATGCATACATAATACATATTAAAACACACACACATATAAATATAAACTTCTTTTTGGAAATCCAGGGTTGGAAAATCAGTACAAAGACCAACCCCATTTAAGTGTTGTTATCGTCAAACCAAGTCAAGCTTGAAATCTCACTCTCATTTTGCTTCACAGGGAAATTAAATCAGTTTTGATTTGATCCAAATGGTTGATTTTTAAATAGCTCATGTTCATCATATATATTCACACTAATCTTTAATTACACTGCTTTGTTTAAAAATATCTAAAAGATTAATATTATTGATCAACAAGTTTCGAGCATTAATTTTTGCATGCATACATAAAAAGCAGTAATCACACCACCAGAATCCTTGGCGGGTAGCTTAATCTTCATCTGAAAGTAACCAGATCCATAATATGATTTCGACGCAAATCCAGCACCTACAAATTATATATTCATCACGAACACACACATTATAAAGTAATCAATTGTACGCCATATATGCATACATGAACACACACATTATAAAGTAATCAATTGTACGCCATATATGCATACATGGAGATGAACATACTTGCAATAAAATGTTAAGATTAACGTAATCAATACAATTTTCTTATACAAGAATTCATGCATATCTACATATCAAAGATGGTCATTCATTTATTATGTTTTACAAAATTTTGATTACAAAAACGAATTGGTATCATTACAATTAAAATAAAATATTATATATCATCAGGGTTGGTAATCAAATAGTAAAAATATAGAACCTAAATATATAAAAATGAGAAAGAGATAGAAGTATATATATATATAGAACACCTGAAGATTGATCCAACAACAATTGAACCTCCTTTCCTTGATTAAGTAACTGAGCGTGATGGTTTCCCCAAGTTACATTATAATTTTGATCAAATGCAACATTCTTATGATCAAAACCTCCAACGGTTCTTGCTGCATCTGCACTAAGGAAGAAAAAAACGTCCAACAAAGCGACCATTACCGACGTCGTTATCATCCATGGAGGAAAACTCATTTGACTAAACCCTGAGTATTGCGAAAACAATCCCCCAACAAATTAATTTGATTGTATATATATGTATGTATCAACTTTTGGATTAATGGGTCGTCAAAATTGAAAATGATAAGACAATGCAGAGGTTGTTAATCAATGCAGAGTTCTAACATGCATAGACATATTTAGAAATTAAATGTGAAAACGCGTAAATATTGGTAAATTCACAACTACTATTAACCAATAAATTTTTTAGCGGTAAAGATAAAGACACATTTGGACCAGAAAAACTTGTGCTCAAAACTATCTTGTTTTTTTTGGAATATACAAATTTGAACGGTATACATTCGGCTCACGTAGTTTTTAAAGATATAATGGATAAACACCAAATTGACCACGTTCTATAAATACAAATTTCGAAAATGACCTATTTTTTTGCAAATTTTGGGAATGGCCATTCTATTCGACAAGTCGTCTATGTTAAGACTCAATTACTATGGTGCCCACCAAAGGGCTTTTTTATAGGTAGACCCGACAATTTGTTATACTACACGAGTTTTCTTTGTATGGGTTTTAAAAACCCATGTTTCGTGTCGACGCAAATTTTAAATTCGTATTCCATGTCTTACGCGTTTCAAAAACGAATTTATCTGTAACACATATAGATATAAATTAAACTAGTGGTTGACACATGACACGTATAAACACACGACACATGACACTTGTACACATGTATAAACACGATTGAAATTAATGTAAGTTTGTGTTTATCCGTGTTTTCGAGTAACACGGTTAAAAATATGTATATTCGTGTTGTGTCACGTATCACACAGATTAATTATGTGTCGTGTTCGTGTTTGATACCAAAGACAAGTTTTTCTAATTTTGTCGTGTTAATGTTTGTCAAATTCATATCGTATAAATTCGTGTCTGACACTTAGTTTTGAACAGTGGGTGATGAATAATAAGTTTGTAACATTGCATTATATCATGTTCTAAATTCTGTTTCTAACAATTTTTTGTTGTAATTTGTGATTAATTGTTATATATTGCTTTGTAATTGACATGACATGGTATGTAGTGGCATATTGTTTACCAGTTACTCTAAAAAAGGAATTTCGAAAATTTTGTAATGAAGAACATGTTCGGAACTTTTCAACAAATTAAATATATTTTGAACTCGTTTACTTTTAGTTTATGTTATAAGTTTTGTGAATGCTTTTTATACATTGATTTAACATGGTATGTATCTTACTTTTAGTTTACTCTGATAAACAAGTTTTCCATAAAGAAGTGAAATTCTTGTATTGGACAAAACTATAGTCTATATGTAATTAAAAAGAGTACCCGAAGTGGTACACACAAAACTTTTAAATATGTTGGAAACATGCTAACGGTAAGGAGATGAAAAGTTGGTTTTCTGAATGGGTACAAGTATCAACTAAGTGAATAAGGGAAAAAGGGCTTAAAAATGGTAAAACATGTATTTTGGAAGATGCTAACAATATGTAAATTATAAAATGAGGAATGCCATCTAAAATGATAATTACATATGTGTGACCATATTGAAGTAAGATTATACAAATTGAGAATAAAGTGGGGCAAGATAGGATTTTTTGCAATCTAGGTATTGATATAAGATTAAGAATATAATATATTGCAAGACATCCAAAAGATATGTAAATTCATCATAGAAAGTAGGATGCATAAATAATAATAATAATAATAATGTCAAAAGTGTTAAAACGAAACTTGGTTAAAAATATGTGTTTAAACCTTTATGCATGCTTGATTAATTTCTGGAACACATTTGAAGTAAATAATACAAGATTAATCAAGGGATTTGAAGTAAAACGACACTATATACATTATATGGTTAGTTAAATAAGTGCAGAAATTAAGTTAAACCCAACATAACTATTTTTATTTGACAATCACAGGCACGCAATAAACATTTATTAAGAAAGATTATGTGTATGCAAATGCTTTTTAACAAGTCCTATGATAAATAATGTCACACCCCAACTAACGTCGGGTTGCGACGTTACAATTGGATCACAATCAACCACATATATTGAACACTTAATATATTTAAATCAATATATTATGAACTTTTAAGTTTGGAAACGAAATTAAATCATCATAATTTAAAAACAAAACAATAATATAAAACATGTCAAGTTTATCGCAAAAGAGAGGAAATATAATTTCCTTAGAACCGATGTCCTACCTCCGGATTCTTAGTTACCTGAGAATACACATTTTTAAAATACACCAACAAAAATTGTTGGTGAGTTCCACAAGTTTTGACTTCATTAGTTTTATAAAAAGAAATGTTTATAAAACACATAATGGTTAAACGGAAAAATTTGTGCAAAAACATAACCAACAATGTTACCGATATTATTCTTGTGAGATCCAATACTTATAATCTGATACAAGTATTCATGTTAATTTACTTATAATAAATAAGTAAAAATTAACATATTTTCGTGAAGTGCAATATTAAGTGTTTATTTTATATAAATAAACACTAACAATTTGTTTAACATTCTACATGTGAATCATTATACTACATACAACCTTATCTTAGTCTGTATTAGTATTTTTGTATCCGGGATTTTGTGGAACAGTAACCAAACTATATGACTTGAACCCGCCTCCGTGAAGCACAATGAAAAAAGTTTGGTGCTTGTTGTCCTAACAAAGCTTCATCGACGTCGTGATAAAAAGAGTAAAATAAAAACAAAAAGTTGTCGTCAAATTATGTTCAGATTTCTACTTATGGAGAACAAATCCAAGTCTTATACAAGGAACAAACTTATATTTATTCATGTTGTATTCATAAACAAATTGGCATGTTTCTTGTACCTGAATTTCCATCAAACCAAAAATAAGAACACCTACACAATGAGATGATCTAGGGTGCTCATGTTTAGCAAAGAGTGGTGCTAATTGAATGAAAGGATGAATAATTAAGGGATTTGATATCTACTTCTTGAAAATTCACTCTAGTAGTTGATTTCCGTCATATCTTTCATTTACTTTTTGTAGATTCAGTTTTATTCTATATAACTCGTTTAAAGATCCATGGTTGGCTATATAGTCGAAGGGTCATCTTGTTATTCATTGATCGAAGCATATTCATTATAAATGTATAGAAATAATGTATGTCTCAAATTTGGTAGAAACTTGGGTGGAAATATATTGGTGACTAATATTTCACGTGAGTTGCTATCGATCGACCAATAAGGAAGAAATATATTACTGGATCTTTGTACAAACTACGATGTTTAGGAAATATGATGGGCAACTAGTATTGTATGTAACTTCAATTTGATAAATAAATCTAATAGTTATTTAATTTCAATTGTAACATCCCAAAAATCACAACAAATTTAAACTTTTCAAAACAACTCATTTACTAAAAAGAAGTGTTTACATAACCATTGTTTCCAAAAACATTATTCAAAATCAGAGTCTCACAAGATCAACAACATAAAACCAAGGATGTGTATGGCCACGCCTTCGCCTTGCCATGATCCTCATATGTACCTGAAATAAAACTAAAACTGTAATCCAACGCTTAGTGAGTTCCCCCAAAGTACCACCACATAAACATAACAAACAACACCATGCATATAGAGCCTTCAGCATGACTGGACCGCCTCACCGGGCCTTCAGCCTATCTGGACCATGCTCTGGGCCTTCAACCTGACTGGTCTGCCTCGCAGGCCTTCAATTTATCCGGAATGCCCTGGGTGTCTTGGCCTTCAGTCCCAGCTGGTCCCCCTCAACCCAGTATACTATCACATATCAACATACACCATAACAGTTAATAGCTAGCAGATATAGATAGTCATACAGATCTAACAAATCCCTACATCATAGCAACATCCTTGTACCAAGATACAGATCTAATAGATCACTACAACATAGCAACATACAGTAAACTAGAATATCAATCCAATGGGTCGGCCTTGGTGCCTTCGACCCGTAAGTACAGTAAGGAAAACTCACGTCACAGTCTGAATGCAGTCTGAATAACTCCCTGCTCCTAGTCTACAATCAAATAACAATAACCAATTTCCCCGGCAACAGCGTCAAAACTTGGTGGGATGTCAAGTCCACCAAGCAAATGACACCCTTTGTTTGCTAATAAAACTTAATATAATCGTAAAAAGGGGTATCGATCCTCGGGGAAATGGTTGTATTCAACTACTAATGCAATCTATTAGAACTAGTGCAAATAAACTAACTAACTACAATTAAACTAAAAGGGGGGGGGGTGTTGTGATTGCTTGAAAACTAAAATACTTGAATAACTAAAAAGCTTGCAATTAAGCAAGATGGTGAGATGCTCAAATGTTGGGAACAATTGGTTAACCAAGGCAATTCAACACAATGAACATTTGTGTGTTTATCATTAGGATTCAATACAAAGCTTATCATTCATCCCAAATTGGTTATAGCAATCATGAAGCATGATATGCCAAGATTCCTCATAGGTAGTATGGAGGTTGGGGAAGCCCACAACACACCTTCTTAATCAAAATCAAAGATCCAATTGAAGCAATTGAACCCAAGAAGTTAATTAGCCTTAAGAATGAAGGAATCCCCAATTCCTAGAGGATGTCAATGCTTACACATCCATAAAGGAACTATGATTCATAAGCTAGAGATGATTTCTACCATCATAAAGCTCTTGTTCTAAGTAAATTCAATGATTCAATGCAAAACCAAAAAAATAAACCAACAATTGCTCATTCAAGTACCAAGCTCATGATCAAAGTATCAAATAAGCATAAGAAAGATGAACTAGAATCATAAACATGAGATAATTGATAATCAAACATGAATCCTTCCAAAACCCACAAACACTCAAAGGTTTTAGCCAAAGTTAACCAAAATAGAGAGTTTAGCCACTCATGGCAATAGAACAACAATCACAAAAGTCTAATTGCATAAAGAAACTACCAATAACTTGGAAAGATGAAAAGAAATGAGTCTTGAGCTTCAAAACCGACTTCTCCTTGTCTACAATGGTGTAAAATCGAAGTTCTTGCTGAAAGATCCAATCCCCCAAGGTAATGGCAAGCCAAATGACCAAAATGCCCAAAACTGGGCGGTTG